CTATGAGTGACAGGATTGAGAGTGTTTTCATTTTCTGCTTTATGCATATTTGTGTTTTCTAAATTTTCTATAATAATCTATTAGTTGTTTTAATATTTAAGAAAACGAATAAGCCAATTAGAAAGTCTTGACAAATTTCAAAGATTGGAAAATATATGTGTTACATTTTATGATCCCAATGCTATAGAATGTGAACCAGAAAGTTTTACCACAACATTTCTGTCCACTTTGACATTTAAATATATTATTCTCAATAATTCCTGGGATAGAAAAATTTCAAAAATAAAAACAGCAAGGTATTTACAAATGACAGTAAGGGTTTATACATACAATTCTGGAATATGCAGCCATGTGTATAATCTTATATGCATTCATTAGGAAATGTGATTACAGAGAAATGAACATTCAATGCAAAGGGCAAAAATAATATAAAGGAAGTAGAAATTTTATTAAAGAGAGAGATATCAATGAAATGGAAAACAAGATGCAGTAAAATACATCAATAAAACCAAAAGCTATATCATTGAAACTCTAAGAAAATAGAGAAACATTTGTCGTATTGTCATCAACGGAAATAGAAAAAACACAAACAACATTGGAAATGAGATGGGGACATAACTGAAGATGACTTAAAATTTTTTAAAGAAAAGTTATACAAAGCAATGCCAATAAGACTGAAAAATATACGTGGAATAGACTGTGAAGAGATGTTTTAATGATAATTGACACAAAATAGGTAGCGAACCCAAATAGACCAGTAAACATAGTGAAAAAATTAAAAGATAATCACCAACTAATCTCATTCTGTGTTTTTTTGCTCTTTTAAAGAGACTGGGTCTCTCCCTCTGTCGCCCAGGCTGGAGTGCAGTGGTGCAGTCACAGCTCACTGTAGCCTCAAATTCCTGGGCTCAAGTGATCCTCCTGTTTCACTCTCCCCAAGTAGCTGGGACTACAGGCACATGCCACCACACTGGGCTAATTAAAAAAACATTTTTTTTAGAGACAGGGTCTTGCTATATTGCCCAGACTGGTCTTGAACTTCTGTCCTCAAGCAATCCTCCTGCCTCAGCCTCCTCAGTAGCTGACATTACAGCAGGAGTCAACATGCCCTGCCAAGCCCATTCAGTTTTATGTGTGTGTTCTACAAAACATTTCAGGAATCGAGAAGACTGGCATTATGCTAACTGTTCCAGAACATATGAAAAATGGAAAGCTTCTCAATCTATCTATGATACTAGCATACATCTGATATTAAACCTAGAAAAGGAGAACCCAAGAAATCTATGGGCCAGTGGCAATGTATATTGCTTTTTAAATAAGGAAACATTATTTCAAATATGATAATACATCTTTTCATGTTATATGTTACATGTGTGTGTGTTTCCAAAGGGAGCAAACTAACTTTTTGTTTGTTGGTTATTGCAATTCTCCAAAGCCTTGGCCAGGTAGGCAGGTAAATTCACTGAAGATTAAATCTGTGTGGGTGTAAATTTTATGGTGTTCAGGGACCTCAAGCCTAGTCACAGGTCTATCTAGAAATGTGTATCTCTAGATATAAAGGGAGCAGATAGAGGAAGACAAGTTAGGTTTCATCACTTTTTCTAGGAAGACATCTCTGTAAGTGGTGGCCCAGTTAGAACCTGGACATCTAGATTCTAAGCACAGAAAAGATACATTCATTTAACTGTTGGAACCATAGAAAGAAAATCATTTTTTTAAATAACAAAAGTATATATCATTATTATGTTCCCAAAACACCAGAGGTTCAGTCCAGGTCCTGCTGCTTGCTGCATAGAAGGCCAATCACTGAGACAAGTATTGCCAGAGAAGAAGGCTTTAATCAGGTGCTGCAGCTGAGGAGATGGGAGATCAGTTTCCAATCCATCTCCTTGACTGACTAACATAAGTGTTTATATAGCAGGAAAGAAATGTAATCATGAGTGGAAAAACAGGAAATAGAGAGGGATAAGGAAGAGGAGTTGGTCAGCAGGAAGCAGATAGGGCAAGGCAATTATGACAGATGAGGGGTCTGACGTCTCATTGTCCAAATGCAGTGATCTGGTGAGTTTGAGCCCCTTGACACTATCTGGGAGCCCTGATGGTTGGTTTCCTTAGAAAGGAACTCAGATAAGACAAATGCAACTTTCTCAAGTTTTAAAACTGGGAGGTCGATTTATCTGTTTTTTCAAAGAAACCATTAACATCAGCTCTTTGGGACAATTGGGTCAGTTTTAATTGTAGAAAATTTAGAGTATGCAAATGAAAAGAAAATGAAAACCTCTTGGAATTCTACCGCTGATAACATTTTGATGTGTGTCATTCTAGCCTTCTCTGCTGGTGATTGTGTGTGTATTTGTGTGTTTTATAACAGTGTGAGTAAATCACAAAATTGTTTTGTTGTCTGCTCCCCCTGCCACCAGTATGTCATGAACATCTTTCTGTCTTATTAAATATTCATATAACTGCCTGTTCCCTTATTCCACTGTCTCTCTCATCATTTATGTCACTGAATTCTTATGTTAGAACTATTGATCCCCTCTTTTTTACACTATAGATTATTCATGTAAAAATCTTAGATACAAAATGGTTTTTGTGTATTTCCAAGTAAAACAAAATTAAGCCCTGAGCAACATAAACATTTGAAATGAAGTTCTTTAGTTAGAAACAGGTGTATAATTTTTAAAGACCTCTTTAGGGAAAGGGGAAACCTTTATATAAAACATTTTTTCATATTGTATGTGTCAGTGTAAGTGACAGAAATCTCATCTAGAATTCAATGTAGCAAAAAGGAAATTTATAGACAAATGCATCAGTTATTCGTTGATCCTGTAATGTGGCAAAACAATCAACCACAAAACATCAGTGACATACTAAGAAGCATTTATCAAGTGCATAAGTGTGGTGTTTAGTTGATCTCAGCTGGGCTCGCTCATGCCCCTGTGGGCAGTGTCTTGTTGGCTAGGTAGTTCTGCTGACTTTGGCTGGGCTTGCTCACACATCTTGGGGCTGCTTGGCTGTTGGCTAGGACAACTTGGTTCTATTTTATATTTCTCATCTTCCATCAGGCTAGATTGGGAATATTCTAATTGCTATGGTAGAGGAAAATGAGCAAGAGAGTAAACATACGTGTTGCTTAAGACATCTGCTTACTTCATATTTGTTATCACCTTCCTGGACAAATAAAGTCACATGACTGAACCCAGCATCACATTGGGAAAACACTGCCAAGACATACATTAAAAAAGGAGTAAAAAATTGGGAGCTTTAATGCAATCAGTCACCTGGCATATGTAACTAAAATGGCCGGGGAACAGATGTATAGATGATAGATGATGATAACTTCTATGACTCCTGGATCTGGAGTATGAAGTGATGTCACCTGGTTTGGTTTCACACTCTTTGAAGTTTAGCTCTGGTTCCCTTTGTATTCTCTTCACCCTCAGGGAGGCCCTTTCCACATTGTAATACTCACAGCTCTATCTTGAAAGTAAGGAATTCCAGCTGAAGAAGAGCTTATCTTTCCCAGCTGTTCCCACTAGAATCATAGTATGGAGTCTTGTTGGACCAATGTGGGTCACATGCCCATCACTAAACTAGCTACCATGTCTGGAGGATACAATATGATGGTTGACCAGGTGTGGGTCATGTTCTCACCCCTTGCACCATCCAGGATGGTAGAGTGAAGGGAGTCAACCTTACCTAAACCCAATGAACTGTGAATAGCGGGTTTGGAACAATTTCTCTAAGGAAAATAGTGACAGTATTATCAGAAAGTGTGTATTTGGGAGAGGGGAAAGGGATGAATGATAGGCAGGTGAAAATAAAAGATACCCCTGTATATTGCTATTAATGTACTTATCTCATTGAGACACTTACCTTCAAAATTTATTTATTGACTATTTGATACTAGGCACAAAACTAGGTGTTTTATAAACATCATCTTATTTCTTACAATACTAGATGGTATTGTAAGATCTCTTATTGTTGTAAAGCTGAAGAAAAATAAAATACAGTAAAGACTTCCTGAGAGGAAGAACAGGAGGCCATAATGCACCCCATTAAGGCCATATGGGTGCTAAAATTGAAGGGATACTCACAATGCTGTAACCCCAGCTACATAAAATCTTCACTGATATACTTCAGTAACCATGATGGGAACTTCTTCTCCTTTGCCATTTCTGTACAGACATGAAGTGGTTAATATGAATATTAAGGTCAACCGAAATGGGAAATAATTCTCAAGGGGACAGCCTGAAAGAGATGTGTGAAAGGGAAATGAGATAGGACTGTTGTTTTCTCTGGTAGTATCATTGAGGATCTGGCTATGTGTTTAGGCATCCCATTGGTTGAGTCACCTCTTTTTCTTCTAACTCCAGGATAGCCAGTAGGTTTGAATTCATGTGTCAATGCCAGTTGATTAGTGGTAAGCCATCTAGAGTGTTGTGTTGAGAAGAATTCTGAACCTGTGGAAAAGAGGACTGTGATAGATTAGTGATGTTTGTAATGAGTACAGGAGGCGAAGGTAACAACATGAATACCAAATATTTGACATCCCAGGAAGCAGCAGCTTCTCAGAGTCACTTTCAAGCCACATATGTATGGGGGTTATGCCCCAAAGGAGGGGTCTTTTTATAGCTAAGGTCTCCATGTTGGGGAATTCCGTGGGAATTTTCTGGAGGTTCCAACTCTAACCTTAGCACAAACCAATATTGAGAGCTTCATTTTCCTAAGGAATAGACCTTATTTTTCACTTTGAGAATTTTTATCTTGCTTAGGGGCAGGGTGGGGGGAATTTATAAAACTTTCACCTGTAGTAGTAAAGTTTTAGAGTTGCTTTTCTTTCTAAATGAATATTATGGGTGTGGCTCTTTCTATCTGTCTATTATTAATCACCTATCTACATAGGTTCATCTATTATTATCTTTATTTATATATTTAAAAATATACAGTTAGAGTTCTAAAGAATTTTGTTTTTAATTATTCTTTTTTTCACTCTGTAGATCTTTGAGTGGAGTTATTTTCTGGTACGGACTGTGAAAAGAATGCGGTGAAAATTCTAGACAATCGTGGAAATATTAGCTCAAACCCCAACTTAGTATAGCATTTCTTCTCTTCAGTAACACCTCATAATACAAGAAAAATGTATGGAAGTGCAAGAACAATCACCAATCTGGAAGGTAGCCCTTCCAGATCCCCTCGTTTGCCAAGGTCTCCTCGTTTGGGCCACCGAAGAACAAGTAGCGGGGGAGGTGGAGGAACAGGCAAGACTCTGTCTATGGAGAATATCCAGTCCCTCAATGCAGCCTATGCTACGTCTGGACCCATGTATCTGAGTGATCATGAAGGGGTGGCTTCAACAACTTACCCAAAGGGCACTATGACTCTGGGAAGGGCTACGAATCGAGCTGTATATGGAGGCCGTGTCACAGCCATGGGGAGTAGTCCCAATATTGCTTCTGCTGGACTTTCCCACACAGATGTCCTTTCATACACAGATCAACATGGTGGGCTGACTGGCTCATCCCATCATCACCACCACCAGGTCCCCTCCATGTTGAGGCAGGTAAGAGACAGCACAATGTTAGATCTTCAGGCCCAGCTGAAAGAACTGCAGAGAGAGAATGACCTCCTCCGGAAAGAGCTCGACATCAAGGACAGCAAGTTGGGATCTTCCATGAACAGTATTAAGACTTTCTGGAGTCCTGAGCTTAAGAAGGAGAGAGTCTTGAGGAAAGAAGAGGCAGCGCGGATGTCTGTCCTCAAGGAGCAGATGAGGGTTTCCCATGAAGAAAATCAGGTAGGTCATGACTCATCTCAGTATTTTTCAGCCTTGGCTTCTCACTGAGTAGTTGATGCTTTGCAGATGGTACCACGACCTGTGCAGAAGAAAGTTTGGCATCATCAAGAAGGTTATGGCTTAGCATGTGTTTGACTTGGACACTATGAGAGAGCATAGGAAATATACCATTACAGCTTGTGATTTCCTTATTTTCCAATAACCTTTTCACATGGTTGCAGATGGGGAGAGGGGTGGGGTGGGGAGGATCACTCCTCATTGCCTAACTTTTGTACTTGGCTAATTTTGTTTTCTTTTTCAGCAGTTGCAACAGCTGTTCAGATGTACCTCCTTCTGAATAGAAGAAGAAAATGTTAATTTCTGTAAGAACAAACACTTTAACGGCAACATTTAGAGGGCCACATTTGACTGGTGAATTGATTTTTATTTTTAAGCACCAGCACCATTATTTCCTTCTAGAATGAGTGAAGTTTGTTCTCTAAGTAGCAAATTGAACAATATGAAATGGAATTGGATCAAATGGGTTTGCTTTGTTAGAGATACACAATAAATTTTAACTTGGTGTTTTTGCCTTCATCCATTCAGCATTAATTAATTATCAACTATGTGCAAGTCACCTTCATACTCTTCTTTGATCCATCCCTCATGCCACAGGAAGAACAGGTTCCTGGTGTCTATCTGCAGTTATGCTATTTTCCTGCTTTGAAGCCCTCAGTGATTACTCATTGCCTCCAGAATAAAGTCTACCTTCTTGACTGAGCCCATAGCACTTCTACCAGACGGCCTGGGCCAACATTTCCAGCCTTTTCTTGTGCCACCTCCCTCTACATCTGTGCTTTCTGCATCACTGCCTGGTAATTCCTGTACACACCCAAGGTTTTGCACTGCCATGCCCTTGCTCTTGCTGCTCCCTTCCACTGGTGGCCTTCTCAGCACCTGCTTTTCCTGCCACCTCTCTTTCAATCCCAGCCAGTCTTCATTCCCAAATCCTACCTATTCTGTCAGGCTTGTTTTTTTATGCTGCTATTTTCTTTTTTTTTTTTAATGCCTACTCTATTTCCTAAAATGCTGCTATTTTTATAAGAGCTTTGGAATCAGACATACCTGGGTTTAAACTCCAGCTTCATATCTATCTCTCTATCTCTCTCTCCTTTTTTTTTTTTTTTCAGAGACAGGGTCTTGCTCTGTTGCTCAGGCTGGAGTGTAGTGATATTGATCATAGCTCACTGCAGCCTTGACCTCCTGGCTCAGATGATCCTCCACACCTCAGCTTTCTGAGTAGCTGGGACTACAGGCACATAGCACCACAGCCTGCCAATTAAAATTATTATTTTTTCTGTAGAGACAAGGTCTTGCTATTTTGCCAAGGCTGGTCTTGAACTCCAGGCTTCAAGGAGTAATTCCAAAGTTCTGGGATTGCACACCTGGCCCCAGCTTCATCTGCAGTTGGTGCTTATAGAAGTGCTAAGAGCTGGGGCATAGGGAATGTGATACCACATGGCTCAAAAATTCCCAGATATTATTTAACTTTCTGAAGGAAATTGACATAACTCTAAGTTGACTGAACAAGTGATTTTCCAGTTACTGGCTTTGATGTTGGTCTAATGAAGTGCTCTGCCTTTCTTGGAGTCATCTGCTGACCCTCCTAACTGTTTCCCTGGCAACTTCTCCTTTGGAGTTTAAGCGCCTGTAGAAGCATTTGTGATCTATATGAAAATCTGCCTTTTGTCCTTCTTCTATGTGTAGAAAACAATCACCTTATCCTTTTGATTATCTAACAGAGCCAAAGCTAGTTTTTGGTTCATAGTTGGAACCAAAAGCTTTGTTCTTCACTCTAAAATGATGCTCTTCAGTATCATTTCTGCTTCTTATGAACCTGTTTCTACAATGCACATTTTCCCCCAGTTTTATACTGGTTTTCTCTTCATTTTAATTTTTGGAAAATGGTTAAAGCAGTTTAGGAATGGTGCAAACAGGGACAAAAGGTTTGAAAGCTCTGCTCTAAACTGTTAGCTCCAAAGTGACTTATCTCATGCTTCTTTCATTAAATTTATCTTTGAGCACAGACCCCAATTATACATGTATATTTATTTATAAATTACAGGATGCGGTATGCTGCCAATGTATTATGTGTCTTCTATGACATCCACAAAGAGTTAAATGTAGATGAGATAGAGCAAAATAATACACTGAGATACATTTTAGTGACATGTAAAACCCTTTTCACTTTTATTAAAAACATTTTGCGCCACTTGTCCATTTCATGAGGGTTAGTTCAGTTTAGAATAGGTGGTATCCATAATTCCACTTAACTGTCTCATGTTGCCATAAGCTAGGAGTGTGTGAATGCTTGAGGGCACTTCCATTATCCCTTTCTTGTTCTGGTCTGTACTGTGATCACAGGATACCTTGGTATTGTAGGTGAAATGTGACTGTGTGACATATGACTCAGTGAAAGCTCCAGTATTAATCTGTATGTTTAATACAAGTAAAATGCAATTTTCTCTTTTAGATTAAAAAATGTAAAATGAGGAAAAAGTATGGAGATTTTGAAAAGTCAGTTTACTTGCAATATGATGTCTTACAAAGTAAAAAATATAAAGATTGACAAAAAACAAGTTATTAAAAAAAGACTGTCTTCTCTTTTTGGAAGTATATTAGGATCCCTTTTAGAAGTATAGGAGTACCTGTTGGTCAGGATAGGGTAAGTTTTGCTGCAGTAACTAATAAACTTCAAATCTCAGTGAATTTACATATTAGAGATTTATTTCTTATTTGCCTAAAGTATGAAGCAGGTCAGGTGACTCTGTGGGACAGGTCTTTTCCGTGCAGTGACTCAGGATCCAGGATTTCTGCATCTTGATGCATGGTTTCAAAGGTTGCTACAGCAGGGGAAGAGAGTGACTGGAGATGGCACATTGGTTCTTGAATTCCTTGAACTGAAAGTGACATAATTGAAGGGAGTAGGAGGTGGAGTCCTCTCTTCTGTCCAGGAAAGGGAGGAGAGACACCTATATGGTGGATAACTACCAGTGGGGTTTTTATGTTTGTCCAAAAGTGGAGCTAGGTGAAATAAAGTTTGGGGAGCAATCTTCTGCTACTGCTGTTTTTTCTATTATGCTGCTAGTGCTACCAGTAGACATTTGTTGAGGTCCTACTGTGTGCTAGGCATAGTGCTTAGTGCTTTGTGTACGTTATCTTATTTAGTGATTCCATCAGTCATCTGAAGTAGGTGCTAGAACTTTTCTTATTTTACAGATGAAGCATAAATGTAGAGAGAATAAGCAACTTGTCCGAGTTCACACAGTTGGTAAGCAGCATAGCTAGGGTTTAAGGCATTGGTCTATTTCATGCCAAAGTCTAAGATCTTAGCTTTATGATCACTACCTCCTTAAAAGATCACTGAGCTGTGATTTAGTGTTATAGGAAGATCCTACTTCATACATGCTAGAGGAAAAAATGACTCGTTTTGATAAAATGATTAAGAATGTGATTTATTATTATCATTATTGTTTTTATTTTGAGACAGGGTTTCACTCTGTCACCTAGGCTGGAGTGCAGTGGTGTAATCCTGGCTCACTGCAGCCTTGACCTCCCGGGCTCAATCATTCCTCCCACCTCAGCCTCCCTAGTAGCTGGGACTACAGGTGTATGTCACCATGTCTGGCTAATTTTTGTACTTTTCTGTAGAGATGGAGTCTTCCTATATTGCCCAGGCTGGTCTTGAACTCCTGGGCTCAAGTGATCCTCCCACCTCAGCCTCCCAAAGTGCAGTGTTATCTTGGTACTGTCACTTGTGCTTTTGCCTCATGATGTGTTTTCTTAAAATGGAGAAGAGTGGGGCAAGGGATTATGGACATCTAACTCTTTGGAATGGCATGATTACAGGTGTGAGCCACTGCACCTGGCCAGAATTTGTATTCTTAACTAGGAATGTATTTCTTTTTCCTAGAGATGGTTTTTGTGCTGTTTAGGGTTTTCACCATTTACCATAACTTAATTTCCTTTTAGAGGAAAAAACATGGAAACTTTTTCTGTATAGAAGAAAGAAATACAAAAGAGATAAGGGACATTTGATTATGGTTTCTTATCCTCAATAACCAGAGATTGCATCTACCAAGGTAATTCTTTCAGGGGTATTTAGATATTTAGAATTTCACTAACCTAAGTTCTAATGATCTAAAACAATTTGAACTGTTCTGTGTGAAGAGAAATTGGAAGCAGGTCCATTATAGGGTAGAGGTAAGGAGATTGAAGTGCTCTTGTATAGGAAGTTCATAGTTTTATAAATATAATGCTAACTAGCACAGCCCTTTCCTTCTTATGTGCAGTATAATCACGGGTTCCTGCACATCAGTTTCTTTGCAGTAGATTTTGAAGTCCTCATGGTTCTGTCTAAGGGAGCTGAACACAATTCCAGATCTAAGGGAGGATGCTGAACTCCCTCTCTGTGTTACAGGGATTGCAGGACTGTTTGGAACCTTGGGGCTAATGAGTAGGTGGCCGTGACCAAATTTCTTATTTGCAAAGTGTTGATACTCAGGTTCTTGGATGGATATGCCATCCCTTCCTCCATTCCCACTTCTCCTCCACCTGGTTCCCTCCAAGGCCTTAGCCACGCATCTCTACATGAATATAAATACATTTGCTTTACTGCTAAGAGTTGCAGCACTGAAATTTAGAATCATGTGCTTGTTTGTATAAACCAGAGTGCACGGATGCAGTGTTATCTTGGTGCTGTCACTTATGCTTTTGCTTCATGATGTGTTTTCTTCAATTGGAGGAGAGTGGGGCAAGGGATTATGGACAGCTAATTCTTTGGAATGGCATGAACCCATAGCCCATGCTCTCAACGTCACACCTGTAGAACAATTGTGGGAGAGGTGAGGAGAAAGTATTGAGAATGGATGTTCTGCTGCCACGTGAGGTAGCCCCTTATTATTTTTAGTGGCCTGTGGTGTTAGGATAGGTGTTATGGGGGGCAGGGCTGATGAGAGGGT